AGAGTAACATAAAGGGGATATTACTTACGTTACGTTTTGACATTACTATGTAATACATAATCGCTTTATAATAGACATGACACCCTTAACTTAAAAGATAGTTTACAGAAATCCATAATTTTCAAACAATCTAAAGAAAAATCCTACCTGCACGGTAAATTCACTTTTTGATATAATTATGATACAAGTACTTCTTTTATTCGTTTGTTACCTACAGGATAGAATAATTAATTAATACCATCGCATCGTCGTGGTTCTCGCTCACGGCCATGTTTTAGTACGTTTTAGTGCAACTAGAACTTACGTGGAACACTCGTATCGATCCTCTGAAATAAGACTTAAAAAAAACAATAAAACCAGCCTCTTCAAATGATCAGTTAAATAATATAATACTTATCCTACTTCAAGTACATCCTAAGTAAATAATAAACCAAAGATCACTCAACTCTGATTTAGTATTGAGTAACAGATACAAAACTGAATCAAACTAATCACAAACGAATAATTTGTTAATTTCCCTGAAGGTAACATATCTACTCGAAGTATTAGTTAAACTATGATCTAGAAAGTTTGTAGCTCGGTCAATGTGGACGGAATTAATGCATGTTACATCATATCTTGTAAAATATAATATTTTGATAGAATTCTCGAAGCTTCTTCTTGTTTTTGATATTATATTATGTCTAAACTGAAGAGCTGTGTACTCTGGGGGACAAATATAATTGCCACATACATTTTGAGTCTACACATGATTGAGACATAATACGTATTGTAGGCGTTCTGTTATACTCCTTTCAAGTTCAAAAAGTCACACAAATTGATACACCTACTGGCTCTCTATCTTGAAATATTTAAAAATATAACTTTTCTTTGACGTCGTTGAGGGTAAATTCACTACATAATTTTATTGGTTTCATTTAATGGTATTGGTACCAATTTGTTTTTTGTGTGCTATTATAGTGTCTCGAACTAATGAAAGTAAAAAAACTAAAAGTATACAATAGGGATGATAACAGGGTATGAAAAATAAAAATCTAATTAGGCTGTCACTTAGATAATGAAAGAATATTAGACACGTACTTTTTTATTTTGTCATACAAAATAACAATACTTAGACTAAACGAATCAAAGTTTAGGAGTGGGAGCGAAAATGTCGTTTCTGCGTAGGTATAAAACGTACCTAGAAGTGACGTCACACGATTTTCCAAATCAATGTAACGTCGAAAGTATTTGTTTCCTTAAGAAAATGATGTGTGTAACATGTGTAATGTTTTCAAATAATCTACTAGACGGATATTGAAAGTAAAAATTAGTTATATAACCTCCTTATTATCTGGCAACTGTTTTTGATTGAACTAGAATTGATACAAAACTAGTAGTATAGAAGTTTGCAAGTCCTTCTTTCTAGGAACCTTTTTTCAAAACCACAAAGTAAAAAAAGTGAGTAGATTAGATACTAATATTACCAAATGCTTTATAATTACTGCCTCGCTGGCCGAATGGTCGCAAGTGCGATTGCCGGGCAGGGGGTCTCGGGTTCGATTCCCGGGTCGGGCAAAGTATTACTGGGTTTTAAAAAATTCTCAGTAGTAGCACGGAGTCTGGAATTGTGCCCAGTATATGGCAATAGGCTCACCCCCTATTACATGGGACTCATAACATAAATAGTGAAAAGTGGGTGTTACATTGTACAGTGGTATAATGTGCACCTCTGCCTACCCCTTCGGGGATAAAAGGCGTGATGTTATGTTATTACCAAATATATTTTTAAAAGTATTCATATTTAATAGACATTCTTTGACCCATAAATACTACCAACTTATTCAGAAAATATAGGCTACTACTATATATTTTAGCAATTAATATTTTTAATTGCTTTCACACGTGTGGGCATCCAAGGTGATGTTTACTCTGTGTATCGAGGTGTTCACGTGCCTGGGGAATGGAGATTGCAACCCGTTGCATTTGTGTTAGTCAGCACGTGTTTATAAAGGCGTGGTTCTTCAGGTCCTGGGACACGGTTCCTGGGAACTTGAGTGTTGAATACTAGGTGAGTCGTCTCAAATTAATAGGGATTCTTAGAAGTCGACTACTGCTATCTGTTTAGTAAGTAGTGTTGTTGGTGATTGTACGAGCTGTTTTCCCGTGCACTGAGATGTATTGTGTTTGTTATCCTTACTAATATTATAAATCGGAAAGTGAGTTTGTTTGTTTGTTCCACTTTCGCGCCGTAACTACTAAACCGATTGCTTTTAATTTTTACAGACGTGATGTTAGAAGTCTGGATTAAATAATAGGGTACTTTTTATCCCGGAAAAAATTGATATTCTCGAGGGAAAACGAAATTATTGGTATAGATGGCGCTGTATGTATTGGTATATGTCACATAGGCTACTTTTTATCCTTTTGTGACGCGAGCGAAGCCGCGGGAAAAAGCTAGTGTGTAATAATTATGTTGTCAACGAAGACGGGATGTTCACAGAAATAAAATTACTGTTTTTGTGTCCGTTCTCGAAGAGAGTATTTATTGTACTACATTAATTAATTAGTGTGGCTATAAATAACATAATTTTGTGAGTAGGTTACGTCATGAATGCGCTAATATCGCGCACTCGGCAAAATGTTAGTATAGTAACAGTGATACAGTGATGATGATAGTCGCGAGTTGTGATGGTTTTTTCTCAGTATTTTTCAGTAATTCAAGTACAGCTATTTAAAATCCTATTTAATTAGTATGAAAATTAAGGAAAAACAAATCGTAAAACAAACACCTTACAAACTCAAATCAAAACAAACTGCACGTACTTGATCAAATAAAAGCTTGATTTGATAATAAATGGTACGTATACTGTGAATGTGGGCGCCATCACGTGACGTACGTCAAGTTCTCACGTTTTCCACACTATACGTCTCGGGCGTCAGCGACGTTCATTATGGCTCTACTTTATTGCCGTATCGAACGATAAAATCACTAATCTCCTACATTAATCGACATAAACATCGACTGGAAGTTAACACATTCATCCAACTTCACTCAAACACTGCTTAATTTACCAGCGACTTTTCGTCCTATGCTAAATTAGCGTGCGGTCTAATTTCGTCTCGACACTATAATAATACCCCAAAATGCGCAGCCTTGATAGTTTCTTAGGTGACGTTTATAGAGGCTATGCGTATTGAAATACATAAGAACCTATTATGTGCACGTTTATTTAATAATGGCATAATAGCAACAACATTTGCAAAGATATCATACAAATACATGGTCATTTGTAAGTTCTGTAACGATTCAAACGTGTTTTAATGCCCTTAAAGCAAAAACATAATGACTTTACCAATTACGTCCGTTTAGACCTTAAATGTTGAGGCATTTTGGACTGAACAATCTCGTCACAATTATTAAGGCAATGAATACTTACGGCATTATTACATTACAAATAGTAATTGTATTACGTCTATTATGCTATTATTCAATCATAAAGGCTTTAACCTTTTCGAATACATAATAATATGTGAACCTAAACAATGAGGAACACTGAGACCTGACCTAGTTAACAATGACCAATGTGAAAATACAATGAACTGGCGGTCATCCACAAATACATGAAGTCGTAATAAAGGGTTCAAATAAAGAGAGCATTGTATCGAATTTCATTTATTTCGATGATTGCTGTGCGATATATTTAATTTACATTTATGTCGAAGTCGTGTTTCGTGTATGTGGAGTATCAACGTACGTAGTATGTGTACGGAGCTGCGTAGGTGTACGCAGAATAGGGGAGAGCATAGTCGTAGGCGCTGTACGCGGAGTAGGCGACAGGCGCAGTGTAGGCAGCAGCTACAGGCGCAGTGTACGCCGCTACAGGGTACTCCAACACCAGAGGCTTAGGCTTTGCTGAGGCGAAAGCCAAGAGAGCAGCAAACAACACCTAGAAACAACAATTAATTAAACAACTGTCCCTAAAAATTAAGTTCATAGATGAAACGAAAATAGTCGTCACTCGATACGATAACCTAGTTAAAGACAAAATTGTGCGGAAAATCTCCAATTTACTGTTCGACACTTTACAAAAAAAAATTCAAGTAAAAATAGGTTATAATAAAAAGGTTCTCTACAATAATAAACAGAAAATTTTAACAAAGGTGTTTTGGTAACTGAAATAAGAACACTTTAAAACCCGTTAATTGATCAATATAAATTTGGACATTATTAACTTCTATTAGAAATTAGGCCTTAACAAAATTTTTAAACATACATATATCACTATGTAATGAGCCAGATAAAAGGGCATTGATCAAACAATGAAAATTTTACACATTACAAACAACATTAAAAATGCACTTAAATGGTAATTACTTACGTATTTGAACATCTTGATATTAGTTTTGAATTGTGGGTAGATGTTTGAAACTGTAGGATACAAGATCCGTTGCACAATAATAACAATCAGTCAATCGGGACTTCTTTTATATCAGTGGTCAAGAGTACGGCGATGCGAACTATGGTCGTGTAACCGGATAAAGTTAGAATATCCTCCTTCGGCCCATTAAACATTATGAGCACGTCCAGCCTTGTGCAGTGTCACCGACGCCCGACCGCACTGATTACACCAAGGACTTACGCCGGCTATTTCTAAATACCATAGACAGCAAAAAGTTTTGAAATTCTTAAAAACACGGACTTATTTTAGCAGTTACGAAAGATTATCATCATAAAGTTGTTTATTTTCTGTTATTGTTCCACTTTAGATAAAGTTGTTTTAAGTGCTAGCACGTATTATTGTTTTAGTTTAATATCTCGGAAACTAAACTTTCTCAATGTTTTAGTGGAATAATTTGTTGGAAACTCATTTTCGAGAGGTCAGTAACCTTTTTGGTGCGAGATCCAACAAATTTTAATAGTCTTCAAATGTTTAGAAAGCCATTTAAAGTTATTAGTGAAATATAAGGGATGAAATTGTAAATGTTTGGGATATTTTCGAGTATAACGGAAACACAATTGCTGGCGGATCATTTATTTACTTGGCATTGTCTTGTCATCACGTCACTGAGTTTGTAAATTAAGTGAACAAAGCGAATTAGTTATATGATGATTGTTTTGGGAACGCGGGCCCGTGGCATTTTGTTCACTAGGATGAAGGGACGTCGTCTGTGGTGGTGGTGGTGACGATGTATGATAGCGCTGCTGTCTCCTAAACTCACAGCTACCACGCACGTTAGCAAGATGAGGAGCCACTGAAAATAAAGTCAATTTAAACAAAATTTCACCAAAAGTTTCCTTTATAAATCGTTTTCATTTGAAATATACACATACACCAAGCATTTAGCCGATCTAAACAGAAAGTAGACCAGCCACATTAAACTGTCAAACACCAAGCGGTCACCGGTGACCGCGACCTACTGTTCTTTAATTGTGTCTATAAAACCGGTACTCGACGAGTTAAGTTAAACGTCAGTCAGTACACATTAAAAGGTTTTTTAAGTTGCCCCTTACTAGGATATTCCCCTGTATGGTGGAAGCGAATTTATTTGTTAAATGAAGTGAAAATCAATCTTTGATTATTATTCACTTAGAGGTACAATACTACAAAATTCACTAGTTGAATATAATTTTTAGCATATTATATTCCGTATTCATGTTTTAGAAAAAAAATATTTAACACTAAAGAACCATCACCTATTTATTAAAGAAACGAATGTATGTACCTCTATAAATATAAACTAAATAATAGTAAATAACTAGAGCTAAGCTAAATCAAGATAAAAGTATTTACAACTAATATTAACATAAGTAATATGGAAATCATAATCATAATATCAAAATTCATAGAACAAAAAATAGAAAAATATTTTAGAAATAAATTAATAGTAAATAATTAATAAATTAACCTATTAATATAATTGTGACAATATCTATAAGTAAAGTTATAAATAGAATCTTTACAGTAGACATACAGAAAGAGCTTCAAATATTTGCAAATATCTGAAAGTTTGTAACAATATTATATCCCTATTCACAATTCCATAGCAGATGCGACAGTTGTAAAATGTATGCCGTAGTAAAGAGTACAGCGACCCTACATTACTTTGCAGGAGATTTCCTTAGAAAGGAGTTTACGACTTTATGAAATATTTTACAATATAAATTACTTGCCATGTACTTACGTCTTCAAATATAAAAAAAAATACTTTCTGTCATCGTACTAATATCATAAATGCGAACGTTTGTGTGTGTTTTTTTTTGAGGGGGAAAATCATCCAATGACTTCTCCCGCTTTGGGTTAGGCGAGAGGGGAGTGTCAGACTCTTACTGACTAAAAGCCACCCCGTTCCTACTCCTGCTCTTCGAGCCGCAGCCCCGGCAACCCGTTGGGCCTTCCGCGACTCCGTATCCGGCATCAGCCCTACTGGGCCCCATCTGTGGTGGTCTGATGGCTTTTTGAGACGCGCGCGGAACGCGACGTGCCCGTACGCACGGGTTTTGTTGTGGTCTGGCGGCAAGCTACCACCCTTGCTCACCGTCTGCAGAACCGCGCGCGCGCGTGTGTGTATGTGTGTATTTAAATCAAATCAAATGAAATCACTTCTAAAGTGTACAAGGTGCTTTACAATTTGTTACTTTTTCACGCAAAGATGGGTGAAAGGGTTGGGATAAAATTTGGAACAGGGGTAGATTGACCGCTGGAGAAGCTAGTACTATAATATTGATAAACATTAAAAGTGTAATGTAGCATTGCACATTTACATTATACTTTGAAAAAATGTACCCATATATTATTTTTTCAACGTAACCCCCACCAACTGCACCTTAATATATTCTGACAACTCTTATTAATTGGAAGTTTAATACCATAAAATTACAAAAATATACTTACTGCTTTAAATAACATCGTCACAACAATAGACTCACTTGAGTGAAGCCAAAATGCTTCTTATATACCGCAGTAATCAAAGGAACTTGTTAATTTCAGTTTTGATGAGTGCAGCCAGTGGTGTGACAAATTAATTAGATCTGTTTCAACACTTATTAATTATTACACCGATAAGCCAGGATTGAAGTCGGTACCGTTTAAAACCTTAGCTACTAGAAAACGATTAAATTTGTTTTTTTTTTAATTTTCAACTAACAACGCCCATTTTCACCTCTCCTAAATTTCAAGGAAATCCTGAGCTAAATGACATTTAATGTTTTTTTTATCAATCCATAAGCGTCACCTAACTGTACAAGTAAGGGGTTAGTTTAGGCGCTAGGTCACGCTGAGTAACTTTTAATTAAGAGATGTTTGATTGGACAAATGTAACTTGTCATGTCCGTTGTTACTAAGAAAAGTTTAATATGGACAAACATCTATTATTTCATGAGGTACTAGAACGATAATCTTACTCTGCGCGGCAAGAAATGCTACTGTGTTGTAGAATTACACCAAAGCGTAAAACCAGAAATTGAACAAAATGTCACTTAATATTTTCATATATTTTTTACCACTCACGCATCACAATTATTATACACTAGCTGTCTGCGACTTTACGATAATTACATATAAACCTTTCTCTTCGATCACCGTTTCTATTAAAATAAATACATCAAATTCCGTTACGTGGTTTTAAAGATCTAAGCGAATATAGAGACTAAGCGGAAAGCGAATTTGTTTTATTATAGTATAAGTCATTATATATTGATTACTTTCTAAAATGCTTAATAAATGGTCGCATCGCAATCGCAATCGCATTACTATCCTAGAGCTGTTAAAATGATACTTATAGAACGCTAGGATGGCTATTTTTATTGTCGGAATCAAGACCACGGTAGCCTTCTAAAATACAAGCGAACACATCCTGGAACCTGTTTTTTAAAACCCATCGTAGTAATGCTTACGCTGTATATGAATCGATCTTGGGTAACCCGCTGGGGTAACTCGCTGGGGTAACCCAGCCATGGCACTATTATTTGTTAACTTATAATATTTTTTACAAGTTACAATTATCTTTTTTAATCATAATACCAAGTTCTTTCAATAAGATGATCACTGTAAATGGGTTCGGTAAGTAGAGGCTGTATGAGTCCACGTGGAGGCATGTGTTGCTGGCTAAATTTCTGAAGATAGATTCCTCGAGGTATTGCAATAGGCTTAATGTTTGGATACCCTTGATTGTAATTGTAATCATAACGACCATGTGGAAAACTGACATCGTTTAGTCTTGAGAACGTGAGAGGATTATTAGCTTGTGGTCTGTGTGTACTAGCTGTTTGAATATAGCTTTTTTGGTGATTCGAATCCTGACCAAATCTCTTCTTATGATAATCAGGTTCCTGTACAGGAACTGCTTGTATAACTGATGCAGGCTGCTCATACTGCTTATTTGAAACATTTGACTGTGTTACTACTTCTTCGTTTACTTTCAAATGCTCAAACTCATTCAGCGGTATTTGTTTACTTTGTTGAGTTTCTGTATTGATTTGAGTTTTGTGTTCATTTTTAGTTTTGGTTAAATTCTGAGTTGCCTTATTATCTAGAATATCAACATTTGTTTGTGTTGTAGATTCATACATTTTAACTGCTTCTGTTGACTCGTGTTCTTTTTCTGTTTCTTCTCCGTTTCTAGTTAGCATCAGATATCGCAATTGTCTTGCTTTTGCTTCATCGCTTTGATTTATAATAATTAAGGCTACTAGAAATATCTGAAAAATAAAAAATATTATGAGAATTCTATTTGTCTTATTATTTAAAATTGTATTGGTCTTATAATTTCTACTTAATTTTATTACAAAAATATATTTTTATTCCTAACATTTATTCATGTCTATGAATTGACTGTAAAAATCTTCGGTTTCCGTACCAGGTAAAAATCTTTCATTATGTTGTTATTTTACTGTAGCAAGCCAACGACAATATGGACAAATTGAACAAAAGCCAGTAATTTATTGAAGTAATGTAACAACTGATTTTAACGCTATTAGTAATAAATTGCAATTAGTTTCGGTGTGCCAAACAAATCATTATTTAATTTACATGTGATAAGAATTAATTAGTACTATGTTAGACTTACCGATCTCTTAACCAATATATCATCATCATTATCATCATCAACAGCCTATAAGTGGCCACCTGACCAAAGGCCTCTTCTCACACGGAATTGGTTTGAGCGTTAATCACCACGCTTGTTCAATGCGCCAGAAAACAATTAGATTAGAAATTATAAACCCAGGTTTCCTCATCATGTTTTCCTTGACCATTTTTCAGTGGTGTCTAAATAATCTTAGAAAGTACATGTTTTGGCTCAGAAAAAGTCACATTCGAACCCGCTCTCTCCTGCATGAGAAGTGGGCATCTTAAACATCCGGGAAACCAGGAGTAGTGTCAAAATGTAGTAGTAATCACTACTACATTTTGACACTGCATTTTGAGTCGGAGCCCCGTTGATCCGTTAAGTTCTTCGCGGCTTCGTATCAGCATCAGCCCTATTGGGCTCCATCTGTAGTGGTCTGATGGCTCTTTAAGGCGCACGCGGAACGCGACGCGCCGTACACTCGGGGTCTGGTTCTGATAGGGCGGCCCATGCTCGCTGTCCGCAGGCCCGTGCTGGCTGATATTAGACTTCCTAGTTATTACAACTTCATCCGAAAGTTGTCTGTAAGAAATCGTGTGCACTATTATTTTTGTATATTTATATTGTTGTATTTTTATGGTATGCAATAAATCTCAAAAAAATCTTACTAAGATATTTCTTAAAACTGAAAAAATCTCAAATAGTAATATAAAAACATACCTACTGCTTGATACAAAATAGAACCCAAAAACCCTTGTCAAGATTTCTCAAAACTTTAATACTACATACATCTACATATGTATATTACATACATCTACATATGTATATTTATAAAATATTGTATTAATATATTTGTTCTATAGATATTTATGCGTGTGGTATACATATTGTTAAACAATAAGTAAATAATTCTTTGTGTTTTTGAAATTGCCAGAGTTGCAGGGAGTCAGTGAATGCGGATGGCGAGTTGTCGTTCGACGTGAAGGACTAAGTGGAAGGCCTTTGTCCAGCAGTGGACATCTTCCGGCTGTTGTTGATGATGATGATGATGTTTTTGAAATTATTCTGACTTCGCATCTATAGCTTCATTTCTCTGTACTACCCATGGCTGACTGTTATAGAATGTCTGTAGACATTAAGTCCGCCATTCTCTGTAATTTTGTGTGAAGAAAAAATAAATAAATACATTATGTATGAAGTGACGTTCATCTCAACTGGGGTAGCCAGATGTACTTATATCGACTATTCATTAGTTATGACTGCCTCGTCGGCCGAGTGGTCGCATGTGCAACGGTTCAATTCCTGGGTCGGGCAAAGTATTACAGGATTTTAAAAACAATTCTTTATTTGGATTATAAAAGGAATTGAGCCCGTTATATGGCAATAGATTCTTCCCCTATTACATGTTACTCATAACATAAATAGTGAAAAGTGGGTGTTACAGACATAGTACAGTGGCATTAAGTGCCGTAATGAGCACCTCTGCCAACCCCTTTGGGGATAAAAGGCGTGATGTTATGTTATGTCATTAGTTATGAGTTGTATGTAATACTGGGTTAAGATTAAGATTGTTGTATTGAATAATGAAATACACTCTTTAATTTAGTGAATCATTTATTTTGTTTTTACATTAAATATTTACTATATTTTATGTTTAATACCGTGGACTACTTCTTGGAGGCTTTCATACTCTGTATTTTGAACCACTTCAAACTGGAACAAATGCTGATCTAGTCTCTACAAACAGTCTATGTTATTGATTCTGTTTGGTATGACATCATGGTTTACAATCGCATGGTATATTTTTGGTTGCCAATAGTTTGAATCAGTCCGATGTCTGTTGGATAAATCTGGTTCACCTTTAATGTGTAACGGCCGCAACTCACTCGGCAATGTTTTAATTTTCTTTAAATTTTCACCGATAATTGGCACAAGTTTGGGTATTTGGGCAGAATCCGATCCACCGATAATACCTGTTTGTGCGTTTTTAGGATTATTCATTAGTTTAAAGATTTCTTGGTGATCAGGATGCTGTTCTGTAGGCAGGGGATCAAAATGTTCTGCAGGTAGAGGACCATAATTCCTCTCTGTGGAAGGAGGATCATAACGCTTATTTATAGATAGGGGCTCATTATTCTGTTGTGGAAGAGTAGAATCATGATGCTGTATTCCAGGATAAAGATAACTGTGCTGTTCTCTAGGAGGATTATCAGGAGGTGAATAATGCTGATTGCTAGGAGGAGGATAATCGTGTTGTTCTCTAGGAGGAGAATAATAAGATTCTTCTCTAGGAGGAGGATTATAGTGCTGTTCTCTAGGAGGATTATAGAGCTGTTCTATAGGAGATGGATTATAAGGCTGTTTTCTAGGAGAAGGATTATAGTGCTTTTCTCTAGGAGGATTATGCAACTGTTCTATAAGAGAAGGATCATAAGGCTGTTTTCTAGGAGAAGGGTTATAATGCTTTTCTCTAGGAGGATTATGTAACTGTTCTATTGGAGAAGGATAATAAGGCTGTTTTTTAAATATAGAATCATAATCATCATGATCTCTATGAGTAGGCAAAGAATTAAGATTATCATGATCTGTAGGGCGAAGAAAATAAGGCCCTTCTTTATGAGGAGGCAAAGAATTAATATTATCATGATCTGTAGGGCGAAGAAAATAAGGCCCTTCTTTATGAGGAGGCAAAGAATTAATATTATCATGATCTACAGGACGAAGAAAATAAGGCTCTTCTTTATGAGTAGGCAAAGAATTAATATTATCATGATCTATAGGGCGAAGAAAATAAGGCTCTTCTTTATGAGTTGGCAAAGAATTAAGATTATCATGATCTGTAGGGCGAAGAAAATAAGGCCCTTCTTTATGAGGAGGCAAAGATTTAATATTATCATGATCTGTAGGGCGAAGAAAATAAGGCCCTTCTTTATGAGGAGGCAAAGAATTAATATTATCATGATCTGTAGGGCGAAGAAAATAAGGCCGTTCTTTATGAGGAGGCAAAGAATTAATATTATCATGATCTGTAGGGCGAAGAAAATAAGGCCCTTCTTTATGAGGAGGCAAAGAATTAATATTATCATGATCTGTAGGGGGAAGAAAATAAGGCCCTTCTTTATGAGGAGGCAAAGAATTAATATTATCATGATCTACAGGACGAAGAAAATAAGGCTCTTCTCTATGAGGAGGAAAAGAATGCGATTTCAAAGTTGGAGAATTATAACGTTGTTCTGTGGGAGGAGGAGAAAAATCATAATTCTGTTCTGTAGGTTCTGTAGGAGTAGAATTATAATGCTGTTCTGTAGGAGTAGGATCATTATGCTGTTCTGTAGAATCTATAGGAGTAGAATTATTATGCTGTTCTGTAGATTCTGTAGGATTAGCATTATTATCCTGTTCTATAGATTCTGTAGGAGTTGGATTTTTATGCTGTTCTGTAGATTCTGTAGAAGTAAGATCATAGTGTTGTTCTTTGGGAGGAGGACCATAATGCTGTTTTGTAGGTAGAGAATCATCATCTTTTTCTGTAGATTCTGTAGGAGGAAGATTACTACGCTTTTGTGTAACAGGAGGATTATATGGAGGTTTTATATGTAGAAGATCAAAATGTAGTTCTTCAGGTTGAGGATTATAATGCTGTTCTGTTGGAGGAGAATTATAACGCTGTTCTGCAAGAAGAGGATTATAAAGCTGTTCTGTAGGAGGAAGATTATAATGTTGTTCTACAGGATGAAGATTATAATTTTGTTCTGGAGGAGGAGGATTATAAACCTGTTCTGTAGGAGGAGGATTATAACGCTGTTCTGTCGGAGGTGGATTATAACGTTGTTCTGCAGGATGAGGATTATAATTCTGTTCTGGAAGAGGAGGATTATAATTCTGTTCTGGAGGAGGAGGATTATAATTCTGTTCTGGAAGAGGAGGATTATAATTCTGTTCTGGAGGAGGAGGATTGTAATTTTGTTCTGGAGGAGATGGATTATAAAGCTGTTCTGTAGGAAGAGGACTATAAATCTGTTCTGCATGTAGAAGATTATAACCCTGTTCTGCAGGAGGAAGATTATAATGTTGTTCTACAGGATGAAGATTATAATTTTGTTCTGGAGGAGGAGGATTATAAACCTGTTCTGTAGGAGGACGATTATAACGCTGTTCTGGAGGAGGAGGATTATAACGCTGTTCTGGAGGAGGAGGATTGGAATTTTGTTCTAGAGGAAAAGGACTATTAATCTGTTCTGTAGGAGGAGGACTATTAATCTGTTCTGTAGGAGGAGGATTATAAAGCTGTTCTGTAGGAGAAAGATTATAATGTTGTTCTGCAAGATAAGGATTATGAAGCTGTTCTGGAGAAGGAGGATTATAACGTTGTTCTGCAGGATGAGGATTATAATTCTGTTCTGGAGGAGGAGGATTATACTTCTGTTCTGGAGGAGGAGGACTGTAATTTTGTTCTGGAGTAGAAGGATTATAACGCTGTTCTGTAGGAAGAGGACTATAAATCTGTTCTGCATTTAGAAGATTATAACCCTGTTCTGCAGGAGAAAGATTATAATGTTGTTCTGCAGGATAAAGATTATAATTTTGTTCTGGAGGATGAGGATTATAAAGCTGTTCTGGAAGAGGAGGATTATAATGCTGGTCTGTAGGAGGAGGATTATAACGCTGTTCTTTAGGAAGAGGATTATAAACCTGTCTTGTAGGAGGAGGATTATGACGCTGTTCTGTCGGAGGAGTATTATAAAGCTGTTCTGTAGGTGGAGGATTATAACGCTGTTGTGCAGGATGAGGATTATAAATCTGTTCTGCAGGAGGAGGAGGATTATAACTTTGTTCTGCAGGATGAAGATTATAACGCTGTTCTGTAGGAGGAAGACTAATAATCTGTTCTGTAGGAGGAGTATTATAAAGCTGTTCTGTAGGAGGAAGATTATAATGTTGTTCTGCAAGATGAGGATTATGAAGCTGTTCTGAAGAAGGAGGATTATAACGCTGTTCTGCAGGATGTGGATTATAAATCTGTTCTGCAGGAGGAGGATTATAACTTTGTTCTGCAGGAGGAAGATTATAACGCTGTTCTGTAGGAGGAGGACTATTAATCTGTTCTGTAGGAGGAGGATTATAAAGCTGTTCTGTAGGAGGAAGATTATAATGTTGTTCTGCAAGATGAGAATTATGAAGCTGTTCTGGAGAAGGAGGATTATAACGCTGTTCTGCAGGATGAGGATTATAATTCTGTTCTGGAGGAAAAGGATTATAATTATGTTCTGGAAGAGGAGGATTATAATTTTGTTCTGCAGGATGAGGATTATGAAGCTGTTCTGGAGGAGGAGGATTATAAATCTGTTCTGCTGGAGGAGGATTATAACGTTGTTCTGGAGGATGTGGGTTATAATCCTGTTCTGGAAGAGGAAGATTATAATGTTGTTTTATAGATCGAGGATCATAATGCTGTTCTGTAAGTAGATTATCATTATGCTGTATTCTTTCGTCAGATATATCATAAATAGAATTGCTTGGGCCGTTACTTAAATATTCGTCTGTTGGTGGGATTATATTATCATTATATTTCTCATGTTTTTGCCCCAAATTAGGAATATTATGTCTACCTAGTATTTTTAAAAGGTATGGTGTTTCATCTTCTAGAAATTGCTGTAAAGAAGGACTAGAAGCTCTAAAGTAAGCTTCTATAAGATCATCAAGTACACTATCTTCACCACATGTTATGGTAGTGGCTAGAAGTAACTGAAAATTAAAATATTACACTATGTTATTTGGTAAATCATACATTTTGGACAGCAGCGTTAGAGCTGTTTAAAGGATTTACACTTAGGCAACAACGAATAATCACTATTTTGGTCAGAGCAGACACATTATTCAGTAATTTGTAGTTAAGTTACCCTACATAAGTATGATTTATTTGACAGTTGTAAACTTAGAAGTACTTACTGTGATATATAATTTGATTTTTATTTGCACCATTATTGTGACCGTGTCAGGCCCCTTCTCCGACCCACACTAACTAATCGTCTTTATGTTGTACTTTATAACAATATTCCGATTAGACACGGTACCCCAAACAAATCAATAATAAATGAATATCAGTGCGACCGATAAGAACTTATAGTATTTACTTTGTTGTAATAAAACAACAATGTTTCTTTGTACATAATTATGATAATTATATTAACATTTTATGGAAACAATAGTACCATTGAAGTAAACGAGTTAAACAACATACCTATACTGGCACGGGTTTAGAATTGACGTGTCGTGGTCTAAATTAATAAATGTACATAGATAGAAAAGACTGCTGATCTTACTGTAAAGATTTTTATATCTATAGAAAAAAAGATGGCAGCAATCAAACAATATACTACATAGTCGGCTACTTCTGATGTTAGAAGTGCTAAGTAACACTAGTCTTCACCATGAAGTAGGTCGTGGTCGTAAAATAAAAATAAAAATGTTTTTGTCTATCTGTCTGTCTGTTCACGCATCATGCTAAGTTGATTTTCCAATTTCAATGAAACTAGGTATAATTATACTTTAATATCCTGGACACAACACTGGGTAGTTTTTATCCAGAAAAAGTATAATAATATACACTAAAAAACAAACTTAATTGTGGGGCTCGATCCCACACACGATTACTTTACCAAACGCAAATATAAGTTTGTCGACTGAATTTGGGTTACCCGCAGTGGACTTTATGCTATAACTGTAGGGCCAATGATCGAAATTAGCTTGAACCACTATAAGAAAGCTGAAAATTGGTGAGTTTGTGTGTATGTTTGTTACTCAGTCGCATCAAAACTGCTTAAAGGATTGGAATGAAATTTGGAACTGAGGTTTGAGCATTAATCACCACGCTTGCTCAATGCGGGTTGGCGATTACAAACTTATAATTAGAAATTATAAGCCCAGGTTTCCTCACGATGTTTTCCTTCACCGTTTGTCAGTGGTGTCTAAATAATCTTAGAAAGTAGGTACATATAACTCGGAAGAAGACACATTGCTTTGCACATTGTACTTGCCGTTGGTAGGTTTCGAACCCGCATTCTAATGCATGAGAAGCCAGCGTCTTTAACCTCCGGGCCACCACTACATAGGTAGATTATGATCTGGAATTCTGGAGTAATACATAGGCTAGTTATTACAATAAGTATAGATATTTTAAAACATTTAAAGATAACTAAAAAGTTCGTAACATTGATTGACCTTTAGAAAGGCGATGATGTGACAAGATCTCTTGCGCCCACCTCCTACGTAACAATCAATCAGGGAAAGAAGCACGTGTTGGAAAAACGAGGGAGAAATGTCGGCTTCAAACGAATTTCTTCTTACTACCCTAAATGCCTAGAAGCCTATGCTTACCTAACCATTAGAGGTTCTCGTCACTTCAGAAATGTTTAGTGTCTATCAGTGATTTTACTCGTACCTTGCTCCTGATTTTTCTGTACATTTTAATTATTATTGGTAGTGTGTTGGATAGATTTGTTCCTACAAATAAGGCTTAATGCTTCTTAATAGTTCTAGATCTTGCCTTTTCTCATAAACAAATTAAAAAAAAATTCTACCTTACATAGGTATGTTAGCATGTAACAGATTAGCTTACATATTGTAAGCTTCACTATGTTTCCAGTTAATCTTTACGATAATTTACTTTATAATAATTGTATAAAATGTCATTGCAATAGGTTCACACAAAAAAGGTTATCTATCAATCCATCTTAACTGACTAAACATAGTTGGATATCAAACATCGCTGAATCACATTTGGAAATTGTTTATAGATATCTAAGTTGAATCAGTTGCATTTCAAAATGTAATGTGCATAAGATTTGAATTTATCGATAATAATACTTCTTTATTGCTGCAGAAATATTCAGTTGCTGCCCGTAAATACTTAGTATTAAGAGTTGAAGCAGGATACATAATATTGTTTAATGATCAAGTCAGGTAAATGTTGCTTGAGGACAAAAGACTTTAATGTAAGAATTGACTGCCTCGTTGCCCAAGTGGTTGCAACTGCGACTGCCGGGCAAGGGGACTCGGGTTCGATTTATGAGTCGCGCAAGGCGTTACTGGGTTTTACTTTAAAAAAAATCTCAGTGTTAACACGGAGTCTGGAATCGTGCCCGGTTTATGGCAATAGACTCACCAAACTAGGGAAAAGAGGGTATTACATAGTGGCATTAAGTGCCCCAAAGGTATGGGCAGAGGATAAAAAGCGTGATGTTATGTTATGTAAAAATGTTCCAAAATAATTCAATATTTGTAACTTATAAACGAAACGTCTGAGTTTACGTTAAAAGAGGATGTTCTGAATACATTCGTTTGAAACGTTATTCTAATTAGATAACCATTCTAGCCATACAGGATTAGAAAAACCCAAGTAGACGTGACGTTTTCTGGCTGGTATCCTAACAATACATGTGTCGTCCTTCGTTTGTCACTATAAAGATGAGTACAGACAGTAAACAAACGTCATTTAGCTCAGTACTTGCTCAGTGCCAAACGCCTTCAGAATGTTCAAATTGGTGAGTGATTTTTTCTTAATTTTTTTCATTGATTACATCTATTTTCGTTGTTTTGGTGACGTTATTCTTTTAATAAGGTTTCTCTTTCACGATTAACCAAAAAATATAGAATTGTGTCTCCTTGGGTAATATAAAAGCGTGTTAATGTTACCTTTTGACAGCTGTAGTTTTTTGTTAATCAAATATAATAATCTGCAATGAATTGTTTAATTTACACATTATATTTGTATTTTTTTTAAATGATACTCGCTATACTTACTTTTATCAGCAATATTACTCCTTTTGAACACAAACTTCAATAACTAATCAAAATCAATGTTATTTATTTATAAATACCTATACCTATAACATAAACAGTACGAACGTCAAAAGTGTACATTGAATATTTCTTTAATAGATTGGGTCGTGATCTGCAATCGATATCGGCACCAATAATATAGTTTTTAAAATTTTTGTCTGTTGATCCGTATGTCCGGGCTAAACTCAAAAATTCCCGCATAGATTTACTTCAAATTTTCCATGAATATTACTGATGGTCAGGTTACCATTTAGGCTACATATTATCACGTTATCACTTACCAACACGAGGGAGGACCTGTGAAGAACCATTCAAAGTCACTATTCCCCGCGGACAAAATTGTGGACACAGCTAGTATTCATTATAACACTCGTTAGTCTAAGTCTTGAATTACTCTACTAACCAAATAAATTTTTAAGAGCGTTGAAAAAGTACTAGCGATTTTAATTGAACTTGATACTAATAAAATTGATTAGCTATACTAATAAAATTCTTTATTGTTTATTATAGTTTCAACGCCTTTTTATTTTACAGTGTACAATTAGGTTTTATTAAAATAATTCAATTTTAATGGCGGTATCAGGACCAATAATAATGAAAACATAGCAATTATAGAATTTCATTGCTACAACTATAACATATTTTGCCTGAAATGAAGGATACAGCTACTCATCGCCTATTTATCTATGCTCCTTTATTCTCCTATATCGATGTGCGTCAGTCAGTTCGTCATTATTCGTGTATGAATGAATACAATTTCACAGAAAATTTGTTCATTCGAGGATGTAATTGTTTAGTCATACTAAATTAGATGGACGTGCATATTATTTTAAATATAAATAAAATATGTATGTACACATTACATACACTTTGTTCGATTTAATGAACATTTTATAACTTCGGAGTTAAGTAATAACAGAATACTGTTTATTACCTAATTGTTTTTAATAGAATTGTACAAAATAAATTGAAATTGCCATTGAGTATGAGACCGGTAGTCGCTTAGAACTAAACGGTGTCAAACGAGAGATGATACTTTTGATTCTTTATACCCGATCAATAATTACTACAAAGCAAGTAAGTGTGAGACCATGTACCACAAAGCATGTGCTTCTCGTATCATAATGACATAACTTAATGGCCACAAAATTGTAAATTAGGTATTTATTAAGGTTTTAATGAATAATTTTGTATAGAACTTATGGTGCCGACTTCTAACCTATCAGTAGATGGGTAACCTATCAGTACCAATAATAGTAATTTTTTTCTTTTTAGTTTTGACTTTTTTTGTTATTAGTTTTTGGTTTTTTGTAGTCGGTTTTTTAAGTTTGTACCATCTGGTGATCCAACTGCTTGTTTGCCCTCTGTCTGTCTGTCCCCTAAAAAAAACATAGGCTGCTAAGAAAATCAAAATTGGTTTCCTCTACTAATTCAGCTTTCTATCAGTATTCTAAAATCACTTTATAAAAATATTCCGAGATACAGTAGCTGTCTTGTCATACAACAGCTGTGTTTTATATTTTTCCTAAAGATAAAAACTCTCAAGAAGTGCCTTCTTGTAAGAAACACGAAAGGACTTAGACTCTTACTGACTGAAAACCACCCAGGATTACTATCTCACGTAAGAATATACGATTTGAGGTATCTATGTTAATTAATATTTTTCTTTTACAGTTGGTCTTCGCCTGTTTACTGGCGATGGTAGTAGCAGCTCCCAACCCTGCTCTATTCTTCAGCTCTCCGTACACAGCCTATGCCGCCCCAGTAGCTTACTCAGCATACTCTACTCCATTTGCATACTCTGCATACACCGCTCCAGTCACCTACTCCGCATACACGGCACCTGTTTCCTACTCTGCATATAGTTATGCTCTATCATCGCCGTATACCGCAGTCTATTATAAATAAACTTATTTAGAAATATACAAAGATTTAAGAACAAAATAAATTATTGATTATGTTTTAATACGATGTTTTTGTTTTTTTTTTTATTATTATTATACGGTTTTATTTAGCTCACCCCGTTTCTTTTATTATTTATTCTTGGGTCAAATTTAGTAATTCAAATATCACCCTCTTCCTGTCAACCGATTAATCTGAAATGGGGATGATGACAGGGTATGAAAAATAAAAATCTAATTAGTCCGTAAGTTAGGTAATTAAAAAATATAGGACACGTATTTTTTTATTTTGTCGTATAATAAAACAATACTTAGATAAAACGAATCAAAGTTTAGGAGTGGGGGCTAAAACGTCATTTCTCAGTATAAAATGTACTGAGAAGTGACGTCACGCGACATTTCAAATCAATATATCTTCGAAACTATTCGTTTCCGTAAGAAAATAAAAAATACGTGTCTAATGTTTTTAAATAATCTACCAGACGGACATTAAAATAAAAATTAGTCGTCTACCCTATTTTATATACACTTTGGATTTTGGTGACAATACATTCATTATCATTATAAATTCAAGATGGCCGCCGCTACAAAATGGCGGATAATTTATGTTTTATTAATTCCATCAATATGGGTATCAAATGAAAGGGCTCAACAAGCGGAATACAATATACTATAAAAAATTGAAATCCAAGATGGCGGCCGCTACAAAATGGCGGATAACTTAGGTTTTATCAATCCCACCAATATGAGTATCAAATAAAAGGGCTTGACAAGAAGAATATAGTGCACTATACAACCTCAATATTTAAGATGGGTGCAGCCACTAAATGGCGTATAAGATTTAAAGGACAATGCCAGGTGATCAGTACATCTTTGACCCACTATATTAGAAGTCATGTACAAGTATGCAGTATTCAGCATCGTGTAGTGTATTAATTACAGATACCTAAACATTTGTCGTGAAACCTGTAAAACTTGCGGTTTTTGTTTAAAACACAAAACAATAATGATAAATAACGCGAAAACAACGGAAACGCTGAGAGCGAATGAAAGATTATATTGACACTGACAGCTGACTGCTGACGAGCGCTTCAAAACGTTTTGTTAGACAAAAAAATCATAACTCAAAGTCAAAGTCAAAATTATTTATTTCAATTAGACCAGGATGGCACTTTTGAACGTCAAACAACAAAAATTTATAAGTGAATTCATCTGTATATTTTTCTTTTATATTTTATTTTTTATTTATTTATTTAATCTTTAATGTACACAATTTTAATATGGCACATAAGGCGGACTTAATGCCATATGGCATTCTCTACCAATCAACCTTAGGGTTTAAATAGAAAATCTGCGAAAAATAAGGTACGGAGAATAAACTAACAGCAAAGAGAGAGAGAGGAAAAAATAAATAAAAAGGTAATTATTCAATAATATAGCTATACATATAATATAGCTATACGACGAAGACCTAGACCTAGCGTTGCAGCGATATTTTCGTGATTTCATCTGTAATTATTAATAAATAAATAAATGTTATACATAATTATACTTTTGATATAATATTTTATGTATAATGATATCTTTTTTTACAGTTACTTAGGTACTTAGGTACTCGTACACTTTCAAACGTCCTCGAAATCAATCGAGAGTCCTCGTACACTTTCGAGCATCCTCGAAATCAATCGAGCGTCCTTAAAATCAATCGAGCGTCCTCGAAATCAATCGAGCGTCCTCGAAATCTATCGAGCGTCCTCGAAATCAATCGAGCGTCCTTGAAAACTATCGAGCGTCCTCGAAATCAATCGACCGTCCTCGTACACTTTCGAGCGTCCTCGAAAACAATCGAGCGTCCTCGAAATCAATCGAGCGTCCTCGAAATCAATCGAGCATCCTCGAAATCAATCGAGCGTCCTCGAAAACTATCGAGCGTCCTCGAAATCAATCGAGCGTCCTCGAAATCTATCGAGCGTCTTCGAAATCAATCGAGAGTCCTCGTACACTTTCGAGAGTCCTCGAAATCAATCGAGAGTCCTCGTACACTTTCGAGCATCCTCGAAATCAATCGAGAGTCCTCGCACACTTTCGAGCGTCCTCGAAATCAATCGAGCGTTCTCGAAATCAATCGAGCGTCCTCGAAATCAATCGAGCATCCCCGAAAACTATCGAGCGTCCTCGAAAACTATCGAGCATCCCCGAAAACTATCGAGCGTCCTCGAAAACTATCGAGCGTCCTCGTACACTTTTGAGCGTCCTCGAAAACAATCGAGCGTCCTCGAAATCAATCGAGCGTTCTCGAAATCAATCGAGCGTCCTCGAAATCAATCGAGCATCCCCGAAAACTATCGAGCGTCCCCGAAAACTATCGAGCGTCCTCGAAAACTATCGAGCGTCCTCGTACACTTTCGAGCGTCCTCGAAATCTATCGAGCATGCTCGAAATCAATCGAGAGTCCTCGTACACTTTCGGGCGTCCTCGAAATCAATCGAGAGTCCTCGTACACTTTCGGGCGTCCTCGAAATCAATCGAGAGTCCTCGTACACTTTCGAGCATCCTCGAAAACTATCGAGCGTCCTAGTACACTTTCGAGCGTCCTCGAAAACAATCGAGTGTCCTCGAAATCAATCGACCGTCCTCGTACACTTTCGAGCGTCCTCGAAAACAATCGAGCGTCCTCGAAATCAATCGAGCGTCCTCGAAATCAATCGAGCGTCCTCGAAATCAATCGAGCATCCTCGAAATCAATCGAGCGTCCTCGAAAACTATCGAGCGTTCTCGAAATCAATCGAGCGTCCTCGAAATCAATCGAGCATCCCCGAAAACTATCGAGCGTCCCCGAAAACTATCGAGCGTCCTCGAAAACTATCGAGCGTCCTCGTACACTTTCGAGCGTCCTCGAAATCTATCGAGCATGCTCGAAATCAATCGAGAGTCCTCGTACACTTTCGGGCGTCCTCGAAATCAATCGAGAGTCCTCGTACACTTTCGGGCGTCCTCGAAATCAATCGAGAGTCCTCGTACACTTTCGAGCATCCTCGAAAACTATCGAGCGTCCTAGTACACTTTCGAGCGTCCTCGAAAACAATCGAGTGTCCTCGAAATCAATCGAGCGTCCTTGAAAACTATCGAGCGTCCTCGAAATCAATCGACCGTCCTCGTACACTTTCGAGCGTCCTCGAAAACAATCGAGCGTCCTCGAAATCAATCGAGCGTTCTCGTACATTTTCGAGCGTCCTCGAAATCAATCGAGAGTCCTCGTACACTTTCGAGCATCCTCGAAATGAATCGAATAAGCTGCAAAGTGCTCATCAATACAAATTAATCAAGCCAAAACACAAGGTAGTTACAATGAACGGTTAAGGACTGACTCGACTGTCGACTTCATCATCAGGTGGACTCAAGACACTTAATTGTACTGTTTAAAAATCCTTATTAAAAAACAATAGGCGCATTACTTGCCCCTCCGATTTTTGTTCCCCTCGGTTTCCCTAGGATTCCATCATCAAAATGGGACCCTCTCGGGAGCACAACCTCTGAACTAATGGCGGAGTAATTGGTGAACAAATAAAAAAAAACAATCATCCAAACATAGTACAGTGAAACTTGGTTAAGTGGGACCTGGATAAGTGAGAAACCTCCATAACTGGAACTCATGCTGAGGTCCCAACACTTTGGCACTGAATTACCTCTGTTAGTGGGACGAGGTAAACCTTTATATCTGGGATTTGTTCCTTCGATTTATCATCATAGTTACCTCTATAACTGAGACAGCGAGTAAATTTTATATGCATAAACCTCTGTAACTGAGATAACATTGTTTGTTTACACATTCCTATTCTACCCACAAATTCCACACGTAATACCAAGTCCACCTCTATTAATGGAACCCTCTGTAAATGAGACAGATATTTATTTATACCTGTATATCTGAGACACTGGGTAAGTGGAATACCTCTATAAGTGAAACGATATTGCAGGTCCCTTGATGTCTCACTTAACCAGGTTTCACTGTACCTCCTCATTTTTTTTAAACCCGTAAAAAGTAGGTAAAAAAACTTTTTAAGTTCAAACGGTTTTATGTTAAACATACATTGCAATGTTAAAGATAAATGTACTAAAAACCAAAAAATAATAAAATAGATACAGTCGTGGGAATTATAAACATATGCATAGACTAGACTAAAATAAAACCGTGGGGCACGTCAATTGTCTACATATTATCGACTAAATGTGCGATAGAAGAATCGTTTAAATCGTCGTTAGGCAGTTGGCCCGCAGACAGTGAGGAAATTACTTACTATTTTCTTGCTGCGTGTCACTTTATGTGCTCTCACATGAACAGGGAAAGTTTTGGAAAGGTCAACCGTAAGCATGGTCCTTCTTATATTCACGTACCTATACTTACGTACCTAAGTATACTGTGTGCACTCTGCATACTTTGAAATAAGTGTATAGTATAATTCAATAAATATATATTACAACAATTTTTCTATCAAATATAGAGATTGTGGCAAGCCGTAAACTGTAGAGGAGGCTTAAAGTGCAATTGGGAACTGTCACGGACACACTAACATTGATTCTGTTAATTTTTTGTTACTAACGGTGTCATGAGTAATAATAGGTCTGTTTACTCATTCATTTCCGCGTCGAGATGTTTATAAGACAATAGACACCAAATCATGAAATATGAATAGAATTCCTTGGAAACCATTCGACTGAATAGAATAGTTCAGTCGATAAATATGTTTTCAAAAATAGCTTGGAAGAGCCGGTACTATGCGTGACAACATCTGACTGTACCTAATTAGGAGCTTTGAATATGAAAGCTCTAAAGTATTCTACTTTATGATGGAGGATGATGGATCATTATGAGAATAAAACTGAGTTTAAGATTCAATATCTAATTTATTTCATTGCTTGTTTCGTTGATTGGAACTTTTCACTTGCGCAGGTAGTAAGCGGCGTAGGGTGAGGCGTAGGGGTAGGCGGAGTACGCGGCGAGGGGTGCGGAGTACGCGGAGTAGGCGAGGGGCGCGGTGTAGGCGGCCGACACCACGGGAGCGGTGTACG